TTCGAAAGTCTAAAATTTCTGCAGTGTAACTTTCAAAGATCCATATTTGCGACAAATCATAAGATTCATAAACAGTTTGAATTGGTACAGACATAGTCCTGTTCCAGGAGCCATATACTACGCAAGATAAGACTCTAATTGGTACTACTTCTCGTAATAGGATCTTTCTGTCTCAGAATAAATTGGCTGTAATAGTCTACAATGGTTCCTTATCTCTCGTGATATGGAAGACAACTGAATATACCATCTACATAGCTTTGGATACAGCAGAAGGTTGGTTCCTGATTTGAACTAGATTACCTTAAATTCAACTCGTTCAAAAATTAAATCTTAGGGGGAAATTTCAACACTTCTTCAAGCTCATTATGGAGTGACACCTCTGAAAATTCAAGATCGGCCCCGCTCATGGATTTAATTGAATTTAATACTTGGTGATTCTAAATACTGTTGATTCTCCACTGACTTTTGATACTCTTCTTGCAAAAGGATGACCGGACCTAACACTTTCAACAACTAACCTAGCACCGCTAATACAAGTCTCGACAGTTTATCAATTTAAGTGAAATCTGTTACTTTAAGTTTTCGTACCATTTCATATTTAGTCACACTAAAAGGAAATGATTAAAAACTGATTTGTTTATTCCTATAATATACAAGTGAAAATTTAAGTTCGGAATGGAGTTTAGTGTTACTTATAATATAATTATGCAAAATCCTATTAATAGTTAGAACAGTTAATTATGATACCGATAGAGAATTTTATATGAAAATCCAAACGAGTGAACCCTAAATGTTAGATTAGTTGAAAATGGAATAAGAGGAAAATGTCGAGTGCATTTGAAAGGCATAAAAGCTTAAACGATGGCCGAGAATATATGACGAATAAACTTGAACAGTGAGATACAACAATGGCGAGATCCAGTACGGTCCGGCAAGCAGTTAATTATGAGACTGATAGAGACAAAATAACAGATTTATCATATGCGAGTTAAGCTAACATTTAATTGAAGAACATTAGGAACACTTATGCGCCGTTTGCATCACATTTGCAATAAAATACAGTACTTGAGAGAGACTTTCTGGCCACAAAAAAGCAATTACCCAGTTAAATACTCCTGCTCATTCAACTGACTTTGTTCCCTGGGATTTCTAGCTTTTTCGAAACATTTAAAGCTGCTATGAAAGGACGAATAATTTCTAATGTATGATAATTATAATATGATACCCAATATAATATAACAAAGGTACTCAGCAATATGCCACAAAATCACTTTCAGGCCTGCTGCAATATGTTAGTTTAAGTTCTACTTCAATAAAGAGAGTAAAGGCGTTAGCAATATTAAAATCCTTCTTCATTTTATTATGCTACTATGCCATTTAAAGCTGCATTAATGCTGCTGATAAGTAATCTGTGAACAAATCAGTTATGTATTTATTAAGCATGTCTATTATAAATCTTCCCTGAAAGTATCAACTGAGGTTATATATAAATACATATATTTCATAGCAAACTGTAATCTATATTTAGCCAAAAAGCTAAAGAACACACATTTACACAAAAATATACAGTATTGCATGACGCGCTTTGTGTGTGTCTTTACAGTACGTTGTTTACAGGTTGCTCAAGTATGGTACTTATGTATTATTGTCCATTGTATAGAATTGCAGCATATATATAGACGGAATTCAGAACATTCTAGCACAGCTGGATACAGAAAGTTTGACCGAGGCTCGACCTGTGTCTAAAGTCTCGCTGCATAAAAGGTTTATTATTTTCCTTGTATGTAAAGCTAGTACGAGCTAGTTTTCTTTAGAAACGTTTCCACGAAGGTGTCCCTTCCTTCAAGCAGATAGCCATCGTGTGCTTTCCCATACTCGAATAACCTAACCTAACCTAACACGGAACATTCTTCAGAAATGCTCTGAAATGTCTTATGCTAATTGTGAACATATCACCAATGAAAAACCAAAAAATTGCACTCTATTTTTTTAATTTATATAAACATCATAAAATAGAATTACAGGCTTAGAGATTAACGTCTTATGCATTCATGCGCCTCTATATACGAACGGGAAGGATAGGTTTCCAAGATAGTTTTGCTTCATGTTCAGACTGTATAACGTAATTCCGGTAGAGTAGTCTAAGATCACGTTCCCTGATAGGCTAAAATAAGAAGTGACAAAATAGCTGTAAAACAGGGACTTTTCTCCTGATCATTATCATTAAGAAACGGAAGTAAATATCGTAGCTATTTCTAGGAATCGAGAACGTTCATGAGCATGCTTTTTCCCTGCTTTTCAGTGCGCTGCAGAGAAGTCCCTATTTACCATGCAGTTAAAATCATAGCAGAAAAGGCATTGTTCTTGTCTTTCACTGAAAAAGGGTTTCTGTTCCTTCCCACCGCTGTACGTTTTGCTCTGCACAGTTTTGCTTTTTTATCAATGCAGACTATGAATGAGCGAGTATTTACCCACCTTCTGCTTGACTAGTCAGGGCAAGGTCATGGGAATGGTATGTACAGTGCAATTTCTCTTTATTTGTTTTACCTTGCCACTTTTTACTCAACTATTTCTATATTTTGAGTGAAAAATGTTTGTACTTTTGCCTCCTTTTTTATATTAAGCTGTAGGGTTTTCAGGTTTCATGAAACATAAAATCTTGGAAAATAAACTATACCTTCGCTGGGACCTGAATACGTATCTTTCAATTGCTAGCTCGTTGCGCTTTATACTATAACACATGATTGCACGACGGAGGAAAGTCTTTACATTTTGACTCCTACCTAATTAAGAGCGGAATGTGAAAAAGGCATACATTCGGCCAAATTAATGATGGTGAAGAGTTTTCATTCAGCATATTTCTTATTCGCTCTATATTAATTAGGTTTTTGAAGAGGAAAATTTTCTAAAATTAGCTTAGCTGTCTTCAGAAATTTAACACGTGTCTTTTTATTGCTAGATGAATATGCTGAGCACTACACCACAAGTGTACACGGAAGAAGTATATTATATTCTTGTTAATGTAACATTATGTTCTCAAATCATCATCCTCTCAGCTCATCTATTCGGTCTGGAAAACAACCAGTTCCGATAGATAAGATTTAATTTAATGTAAAGTTATTTCTAAAAATGTTCTGATGAATTTTGACAATAATATTCATTAACATTTTATCAGTGTAATCAATAAAGGGTTTTTCTTACGCTATACATTGGTTAAAGTTTTTATTTTTTCTGTATTTTTATCAAAGTACTTTTTTAAATTGCTTTTTAAATTCATACTCATTGGTAATGTTTTCATCCATTGATGTTTTCTGTGGTATGAGAGAATTGGAAACACCGAAGAATGATTCATCACACATTATATTTTAAGTAGAGAATGGGGAACTGCTTTAAAAAACAGTGCATCTGCAAAGTGTCTATTTTCTTTACTAGGTTGATGTTTGGTGAATTCATATTCCAATATCTGCTTGTTTTACAACTGAGGGAATGTTATTGTTCAACTTACATTTTGCTTTGGATAATATCTCCTAAATTTAGAAAGAGATAGAATTTTTCATAAACTGCATTTTGCTTAATGGATTAGAGTAAAACTAATTAAAGAAAAAATAATTTTTCGGTTCTTTCCAGCTTTATGTGCCAGATGCATAGGAGGTTTGAATATCGGGATTGACAGATTTGATGTTCTAATTAAATCGAAAATGAAACTAGTTTTTAAATTCATCAGATTTTCCTATAATTTGTTTTCAGATGTACTACATTCAAAGGAGCATTTTTTATGCATCACAGATGCAGTATGAATGCATGTTGCCCAGCATAAGTACGTTTCTATAGTTCTACAAACCCAAAGATCTGATATGCCATTCCTAAATCATACAAGAAAATTTTGTATTTTATTTTATTTAATTATTTATTTTATTTTGTCTCGAAAATGAAACTTAGGCTAACTTTTTCTGTCGAAACTTACAGTTTCACAGCTTTTGTATTAAATTTACTGAAAGGATTTAAAAATAAAATTGGGAAACAAAATTAATTATTCATTTATAATTAACTTCTCTTATAAGAAGAAACATTACGATCTAAAAAAAAAAAAAAAAAAAAAAAAAAAAAAAAAAAAAAAACCTGACTGACTGGAATTCTCGGACTCTATAATGTTTTCTAAATAATTTTCATGCATCCATCCCTTTTATTAGCAATTTTATGCAGCTTCATTTCTCAACTCCTACGTTTTATGCAAGCTCTTGAATCATGAAGCAGATATCACAAGCAGCAATTCTACCCAAAATGATTTATCGCTCCATTATTTTTTGGCCAGGCCTCATGATAGTTAAAAGAAGATGCGGATTTAATAGCAGTAATGTAGAATACACATAGAATCATGAGCTTCATCCAGATAATTCCGAAATATAATAAAAGGAAAGTTAAAGAAAAGCGGAAAGAAAATTTTAAAACTGAAAAAATCATTGACCATTTTGCTATCAAGAAAAGATCAATTAAACTTAGACCAAAAAAGAAAGAACTGCATTTCAGATGCTGCAAATGATCAGTTAAGCTTAAAATAAAAAAAAATTAAAACAAATATACAAAAAAGAGCAAGATTTCCAGAAATTTTTGTTAATTGATTAATCTCTGTGCTATTTCTACGCTGTCAAACTGTAGGTGCAGACGCATTTCAGCTTCAGTAGATCGCAAGCATAAAAGTGGATAATTTGAAAACATTGTATATTGGTGTCGAATGAATATAAACTAGCGTTAAAAGAGAAAAATAAGACATTAAAATTTGATTATGGAGGAAGTAATAAAGAAGATGAAAATTTTAAAACTCTCTCCTGAGAGAAATATGGTGCGATTTTATTTTACGTAAAAAAAAAAAAAAAAAAAGCGTTTATAAACTTGTGTTCACAGTATGTTTCTGTGAATATAAGTACCTTTATTTGTTTTATTATCTTTCTATATGTGTATCAGCGTGCATGCTTGGTATTTAAGTTATTCTTTTCTTACAGGTATGAGAGATTTCTATGCTACTTCTGAGTTCCAGCTTCCAGAATGATTATAATAGTTACCATTACTTTTTTGAAACTCGGTAAAAATATTTATGTCAAGGATATGTATTTTCATTAAAATAAAGGAACAGATAAAATTCATTTTGTGTTTTTTTTTTTCTTCATAATTGCTTTTATTCAAAATTACCTATCGCAGAAAAGTCGACATTATTTACCTAATTGATATCCTCATTAAAATCTACAAAATCAGTCTTCGATATAACGACGCTGATAGGATTGAATTCTAACCCAGAGACATTTACGTTTGCGTGGCCTCTCGTGCCCTACAGTATAGATCTGTAGGGCACACTCCTCGATGATGAATCCTGAATAATACCCTAGGCGTGATTCTGAGATGTTGAATAGTTTCGTCAATACCCTGGGGAAGGCTTAATTGTCTCCTGCCAAGAGACTATATGAATACATATTAAAGTTTGGATTTTGAAAAAAAAAACTAAAATAAGGAGTATTCTACATTAAAAGATTTTCGTAACACAATGCTGAGATTCTTTTTTCTCTTAGCGAAGCCATGGTGCAAAATTCTGTAGAAAATTAAAAATTTCTGCGCACTGAACTTTAAAATCTAAAATGATAATTAAAACTTTCACGCACGGGATAAAACAAATTTATCAATCAGTTTTATGGTCCAATAACTTTTGCATTTAATTAAATAAAAGTGATACAAAAGCTTCTCAATTACTATTTAAATGCAAATTATGATGATTGATATAAAAGAGATAGCTTAATCTGGAGAACAAAGCACATTTGTACTGAAAAGTGGAAAATGTTTAACTCAAAGTTTTATCAGAGGATGCACTTAATATTATTTATTACTGCATTTTTAAAAAGAAGTTAATGCTTCGATTTTTGAAGTTTATTAACAAACGAACTTCATATAAAAATTACGAGAGAGAGAGCAGCTGACAGTGATGTCCCAAATTCAGTTCATTTACAAAGCGACTTTAGAAATTTATGTGGCTTTTATTTACAGCTAATGAAAAATGAAGTTATATGGCATTTCCCCCGCCTTCTTGGCATGCCTTCGTGGTGTGATGGTCTGCAGACTCAGCGCGTAATTGACAGGTTCGATTTCCGGCGAAGCCGTTGCATATTTTTTATCTTGCTTGCTTCCAAAAAAATACCTAATGACTCTATTGTTAGGTGCCCTTAAATAATTTGTTATTGCATGTTTTTAGGAAAATATGCATAAGAAATCTATAAATTATTTACTTTATTTTTGAAGTTTCATGGAAATGCATGTACTTAAAAGTTCAGAATTAAACTCCGTAAGCAAATTTGAATGAAGAATGTGCATATGGGAAAATAAAGTCCAAACAAAAACTATTAAAAATTTAAATGCACAATAATATAAAGAAAATGTAATCGAAACAAAATGCAAAGAAAATGTACTCAATTCGTATAAAACGGACACAAAAGATAACATATACTAACGGGCAGGCCTGCCAGATGAACGTACTGAGGCCAAAGCAAAATTATATTCCATAAAAAATTTTACTCTTCCTCTGTTTAGAAAAGACGAATGTCAATTTTAAAATTCCACTTCGTACACCTTCCCGACGTAGCACACCGTACAGCAATGAATTTCAGAGAAAAAAACAACTTGCAGGGTGCGAAAATTAGCGTTTTCAGAGTTTCTAGTTGTCTCCTGGGAAAGGAGGATTGTCCGTTCGTACGAAAAGTTCAGAAAAGGTATGCCATAAAAACGATGAATCTAAAATTAAAATCCCGTAAAACTCTCTAAAGCAAACTCTGAACTAAGCAATTATATTTTTCAAGCCTATATTTTTAGAACTATGAAATTTTCCCCCTTTACTCAATTTTAGTGAAAGCCGATGAAAACGTTCAATCTCAGGCGAAAATGGGATGAGTTTGTATCAGCTTTCTCAATCGATAACATTTTGACGCAAGGCAAAATCTCTGTGACATGTCGCAACGGAACATAATTATGCAACAGCTCACAGAGAAATTTTGTGCCTTTTCGGTTGCAATTAAAATTTTTATTTATTCATCAGTCACAGTGATTAAGAAATAAGCAGCACATACTATATTGCACTTAAAAAATTCTTGTACAGAGGATGCTCTGGAGAAATGTTTACGTTGCAAGAAATCAATTTAAATATTTACCTAGATGGGGCAAAGTTAATGCTCTGTCTAGAATATGATTAGATGAAGATGGTAACGAAGCGAAATATAGTACCTGCACATGAAAGGCTTTAGATTTCCAGGCTTCTTTAATATACAAATTAAAAGTGGTTAAAACTTTTATAAATATGCGACTAGTTTAGATTTTTTTTAGTAAACTTCGAAGTTATAAACACGGCAGTGAAGCAAATTGCAGCTAAAATTACGACTTGATCGACAGTCTTTTATTTCAAAAAAGTTTTAAAAATTAAGAAATAGTTGGGAGCTAAGACCACTTATTTCAGAGATATTAAAATACTAAGATGCAACTTGGGCTGCATAGCAGACTACTGGCAGAGGCCATTCAGTTTCTCAAAATCACAAAAAGAATGTTCTGAAACATACAAGCAATAACAAGTAACAACATAAATAATTTAAACGCCTATCAACCAACTTCATTAATGGTATGAAACCTAAATTTCCGACTGAAATAGTAAATATTTATTTATTAAAAACCATGTTCTTGAAGCAATGTAAGCAAACTTATATTTCTCTTAATTATTATTGATCCTCTTTCTAAATGAATTCAAATTATACAGGAAGGTTAAGTTTCAGCCGAAACCTTTTGAAAACTGGCGTAAATTGCAATTAAGGAAGTGCAAAAGATACTATCAGATAAAGAAGAGTAGTTGAGAAAATAAGTGAAACCTCGGACATAAACCATTTTAAGTTATCCCATATTGATTATACAAAGAAAAACAAATCCCTTATCGTATGTTGTTGGCATGGTTATGAAGAAGCAAGACGAAAATAATTCAGTTTTCTCCTAATATCTAGGATAGGCATTTATAGGAATTAGTCTATACGATACACTCAAACAAATCCATTAAAATAGAAAAGAAAACTGACCGAATTATTTCCTGGGGGAAAATGAATTATTTGCTTATGCAAATATTTTCTTTATTTTATTTCTAATAACAAGTAATAATGTTTTAAAAAATTCTACCATTAATAACTAAGATAGTGTAAAATTTAAATAAAGCTAAATAAGTAGACAACTGCTTTATAATAAAAATTAATGGAAATAGGAAAATTGAAGAAATTTTAAATCTGGTATATTTCTTACCTTATAGCTTAATCGAAGGAAAAAACGTATTTAATTTTTTTAATCGCAAAGCCTGTGATAATAAAAAAGAGAGTCCTATGGTTTGTGCTTAACGAAATGTCCAAAAGCAAGACACAGGCAACAAAGAAAATGTTATCATAGAAAGAATGTGCTATTCCTAAAAAACGACTAAGTGTAAACTTGAGACATGAGTAGAAAGGAAAGGAGTGGGAGAAGTCCCATAGAATTCCAATGATTAGAAATACCTGCTCCAGAACAGAAGAAGGGATAATATAGGGGTCACTTCAATAAATTCACTTCGAACTCAGCTTATAAGAAGCTGCGCACCGGCTTCTGTAGCGTAGTAAAGAAGAGTTTTTAGGTTTTGAGTCTCAGTCGAAGACTATATCCGTAAATTAACAAGAAGTTTATCAAAATCAGGTTATTAAATCTTGATTAAATTCCTTTCAGTTTGCTTTTAGTTATTAGATTTAAAATGCAAAGAATGACAATGAATGGGAGAAACAGGGTTAAGCTATGACCATGCTAAATAAGAACGTTAAATATGAGCTCGATTCTTTCAAATGAGTCATAGACAAATCTCAGCTTTTCGCCCTTTCGTACAATAGATAGACATTGCGCATCTAAATAAATTAAATGTGAGCAAATTCGAAGAATCTGGAAATTACAGGTTGCAACCACATTTTGTGATGTTAAAGATCTTTGGCAGTCTTTTACACACAAACACTCTACCCTGAAAAAGTGTAAAATAACATTTAACTTTCAATGATCGTAGTTAAGAAAGGTTATAATCACAAGGCCGAAAGAGATCGGATGATTCAGGAGGCCTAACTTCTAGAAAATGGATTGTAACGCAGTAACAGTCTAACGATAATGGTATCAGTGGTTCATGAAAGCCAGGGTTTAGAGACTTGCACTGAATGATAGTAAAACTGCCCCATTGCTAGGTTGTTCTACCATTGTCCCCTGACTGTAAGGTACTAGAAATTATTATCAGGAGCCTACAGGTGACCAGCGTATCAAAACTTGCCCCATTGAGCTTCTTTGACACTAGAACTTGGCCTTTTCATCCTGGAAGAAAATGTAATTATTGCATAAAAATTAAAATAATGCAGAACTTCGATATGAAATTTAATGAAACATTCCAAATAAAAAACAGCTCCTACTGAAGTGAAATTACACAGTAACTTTTAGGGCTTCAGATGTTAATTTTCAGGAGAACTTACTTTTAACATTTTTAATGCGTTTCTTCTTCCTTTCTGTTAACTTAGAGGCAGAATTTGAGTTCACTTCTATCATTAATTTTAATGCAAGTAAAGCCGAAATATGAAATTAAACAGGGTAAAGGCTAATGTCGAAGAATAATGAAAGCCGTGATAGTGTTTCTGTACAATATACAGCTTTCTTTGCGGTTAAAAGACAAGGATATTTAAAAGTGGAACAAGTTTTCAAATGTATAAAACTGAAACAATAAAAAATGGTTAAAAAGTGGGGATAAGGGCACCCATCTATGAACCTCTCTCTTAATGGAAGTATATGTTAACAAGAAATGGCCCTGTTAAGAAATGAGAATCCATAATTGAGTGTTATAATTTACTAACAATTACAAAATCCTTACTCAGCATCTGGTATGCATGATAAATATGCAGTGACCAAAATCTTGTAAAGCAGTAATTGGCCAAGTATTTGTAAAAGATGTTTTTACAAGGCAGAATCATTGGCAGAAATTTTGAGCTTGAAGCCAATTGTCGCAACGTCATTTTCCGCCATTGATTCATGCGGGATGATGTGTGATCCAGGATAAA